CCCCTCACGCATTGCAGGACTGAGGGGTAAGGGGGTGCAATGGCGCTTCTAAAAAACTTAGCTAAGAGGTCCGGGCAGATGGACACAATCCATTCTTTCACTATGTACAATTTGAAAGAGGGGAGAGGGGGGGGGGGGGGGCACAGCCATTAAAACGTCAATGGCAGGGTGTCACATTCAAAATTTCATTTCATTACCTCTATCAGTATCAGGAAGAGGAAAGTGTGGTCAGGAAGACACTACTTTACAGTACAAAAATATCATAGTAGTAAAAAACGATATGGAGAGAAAGAGGCGATATAAACAGTAGAGGTTGACCTTTAAGGTTTATCTACTTAAGTAGTATGAATGAAAACGACTCGTCAATACTTTCCACCTATAGCTCTATATATGAAATGTTTAAATATTACACAGAGCTGCGTTACTCCCTGGAGAAGATCAACAAATAAACTGGTATTTATTTACTATAATGACTCAGCAGAAATTATAAAAATACTTAGTACAAAAACTGGCCGTGTTATTCAAATCATCTATCTGATGATGTAGCAGAATTCGTGAAAATACAAATAGATAGTCTAAAAACTGTCTTCGTCATGGCCAGGTTAATCAGACAGAATAAGGAATGCTAATTATCAAATTATAAAAAAAACCTTTCAAATCTCCACGCAACCCAATGATACAGTAAAAAATGTGTTCTGTTTTTTTTTTAGTAAAAACTAGCTTTGTCATTATATAGCCCTCCAAAAAAATGGGTGGGCGAAATGATCGAATTTCTAACCTAGTTATGAGTTTTTTTTATATAAAAAATGTCTTCTTCGGGGCTGAGAGGGGGCGGGTGACCCCTCTAACCCCCCTCCCCCCTCCCCCCCCCCCTCCTTTTCGCTCCGCCACTGTTGTCGACTCGAATCCCCCTCCAGAGAAGAACAAATACGCATCCATGGCCAGTAATGTCGAGAGTCTGTCCAGCCCGGTATTTTCTTTCACCTCCCCACCACCGAAAGGAAAGGTTGTTAAAGGCCGCTGTCCTCGCAGTTGTTAACGCTATCGATTTTGAACCTTCCGTTTTTGGTGATAAAAACGATAATGAAGAGCTAAAAACCGTGTCACCATGGCAATCAGAAGTCTCATTAATTTCCAATCACATTCAAGGCGAGGAAAGACTGGAGATAGAGTTGCCAGAAATTGCACTCAAAAATTTCAATAATGGAGCCGTTTTAGCTGTAATCATAAGGTAAAAATATTTGAAATACAACTAAAAATTGATGATATAGTCACCTTTCCATTTATTGAGCAAAGAAAATCAGACAGTGGCTCAGAGCCGTATATAGAGCTCTATATACGGCTCTGCAGTGGCTATGATGAACTATTTGTTGTCTGAAGCCAATGTTGTGTTAATTAGAGTTACGTCCCTTACGTCACTGGATAATCACGACTTTCATAGTTTTAGCAACAACAACAATATGTCAAAATAATCACAAATTTTTAGATAATTTCTCTCTTCTGTACCAAGGTAAGACTGTTTGATATTTTGCAGATATTTTAGAAATTGACTGCATGTTGTTTGATTTGTTCAAGACCATTTTTGAAGCCGATTTCACAAAAGGACACGGAAGTCAGTCAAATACAAATGAGTTGTTCAGACTTTTTATGATTATTTATATAATTCTATCACAGTTCCATTCAGTCTATATTGCCATTACGTATGATTAACTTAATAATTAATGATTTAATTTATGAGTTCTCTCAATCAATTAGCCAAAGCAATATAATAAAGATTTAATTCTCTTGTGGCTAGGAATATTGTCTGTAGAGATATTTTTCTTTCTACTTTCTAGGCCTATTGATAATCTCAATAGATAGACTTTAAAGGGATTGTTAAAAGGTTTTCTAAAAAAATTATGTGTATCCTGGACACTGATGGCATCAATTTACACCATCCCAATTCTCAGACTTCTGGGTCCTGCAGGAATCACGAACATCTGATTGAAAATTGGAAGGGTGCATCACATAAAATTTACAAAACCCATTACAATCCCTTTAAAGACCTTTATCTCAACGAACTTGCTCAGATAATAGATGAGCAATGGCCTTTATGTCAATTCCTGAAAGGCCAGTTCTTTTGACACTGTCCTAGATTGAGTTTCTATGGAATAACAGGAACCTCAGTATCATTGCAACAATCAATTTATAATTTATATATATGATTTCAGTCATAGAAGCTAGTTAGGAAGCAATGTAACTGATAAACAACCAGATTTATAACCACAATGGAGACCTAGCCTAATTAATTAATTACCTGTACCCTAATAGACAGACTGACTGATTAACAAGAATTGATTAATTAATCATGGATCCAGATGAAGATGAACACATCCATCCTGGTCAGGAACAACTTCATGTTTCAGAAGCTTATGATAAAATTAAAGGTAAGAAATTGTATTTTATTATTATTATTATTAATATTATTACTATTACTATTCTGAAAGTAAATTGACCATCGCTTATTTTATCCTGCAGTCATATTTCCTAAATCTTATTTTTGTGACACAGTGACAAGTTCATAGCAAATTTACTGGGCAGTTATACTTATATTTCTGATACCAAGCAATGAAAGTTTCAGGGGCAGGTGTTCCATTCTCAGGGGTTGATTTAGGTCTTGAATATATATAAATATGATAATTCTATACATACATGGATTTGAAGACCAAAATTGCGAAGGTGAGCTGTGAACACTATTACTGATTAGCATGGCTAAAACATTCCTGTTTCTGAGTATGATTGGTCGAACCAATGGTGAACCAGTCCTTCAACATCTGTTTTAAAGGGTTGATAATTGTCCAGAATTAAAAAAAACTTCAACAAGTGCAGTTTACAGCAGGTTTATTTGATATTTTAGATTCCAAGCCGTCTGCTAAAGGTGGTAGATTAACTGATAGAGCTAGACGAATAGTAAAACATGATAATGTATGTTCTGTATTCTGTGGGGGTAAGAAATGTAAATATTGTTGTCCTGACAACTGGAGTAAAGAACAGATGGCTGTTGATGGATTATTTTCTCACTGGTATGTAGAATATCTTTTGTTTTTTCATTTTGAATGACTATGTGATTGTTTCCACCAAAAAATACAAATTACAGATTTAAAATAAAAAATTGTTTTAAGATTACATTTTCTTGAAGATGTTTAAATAGTGTTGAAACGGTTAGTGAATTTTACGAACTGGGTAATCATCTACAATAACTGTTTGTTACCCGGTTAATTACTAAAGATTATAAAAGGAGTCAAAAACCGCATTTGGTGCGGTAACTCACCGTTAACTAAACTAGAGTAAGTGTAAATGAGTATCCAGGAAGATTTTGGCTAGTTCCCCGTGACACTGCTCTACTAGGTTTAATAAGAAAGAAATGTAAAAGATCACTGAGATTGAAAGGAGGTCAAGATATAGAGAAGGTTGATGTTGCTTGTTTTATTGGGACTTCTATGGTTTTTTAAAGTCAGATGTCATATATTGAAAATGTAACAGCTCCATTGATTTTTATTCAATTATCTTAAAACTATATGAAAGTTTCCAGTTTTACTGGAAGTTGCTATATATCTGATTGTGATTGACTGTATTTTGTTTCATTTTATTTCATTTTTTGTCGCAGAGCCAGGTTTACGTTCGAGGAGGGGCAAGTGGGGCCAGATATCTGAGATTGCCCGAATCTCTAACCTAGTTATTAGATTTATTGTTTATAAGACAGATACAAGTAGGAAGATTACAATAAAACACTAAGATATATGGATATACTACTTAGTTATGAGATTTTTTCCTGAAAAACTTGCTTTAGGGGGTGCTAGGATGGGTGGCTGCCCCCTCTGTTCCCCTTTGCCTCCGCCACTGTGTTACAACGTTTCATTGAGTTTCCTTTTATTTCAGGGTAACAGATAATATATTAGCTATGGCCAGGCCGACCAACAGTGGAATACAGAAATATAAAATAGTGGACCAATTTCTACAGTAAGTTACTAGAGTTTTATAACCTAGTCTCTACAGTGTACAGTGTGCAATGAGGGAAAGTCTACTAAAACACTGATCACCAGAGTTCGGCTTTTATTGCATATAGTATGATCTTAACCTTTATAATTGGGATGAATCAGTCCAGTACTTTACACTCTATTATAGTGTACAATGAGGGAAATTTTGTTGAAACTTGTTTGGTTTATGTATAGATTATAGACACAGCTTTATGGAACAACAATCACTGGTTCAAGTTTTATGCAATGTTTCGACGTGTTTTCCCCTGTCGTTCTCAAGCACATAAACGTTGCATAAAACCTGTAACCAGTGATTGTTATTCAATAAAGCTGTGTCTATATATTGCACTCAGAATTACTAAATGACACTTAAAACCTTTAAAAAAAGACACAGGTTAATGGACCAACAATCACTGTTTAAAGTTTTATGCAACTATCAATTTTCATCATTCTGTAGGGGGAAAAAACCTGTAACCAGTGATTGTTGTTCCATAAAACTGTGTCTATATATCATACTTACAATTACTATATGTCATTTAAAATCTTTGTGTGGTTTATGTTCAAGAGAGTATCATATTCACACTTTTAATAGGACTAAAGCTTTTACATTCGTCTGCGCAATACAGGAAACACCTTCACCTTCAACTGTTTATAGTATATGATTTGAAGCAGAGAGCACATATATACCATTATATATTCCCTTGTGTAAGATTTTGATAAGAGCACTGGCCCAGGTATGTGGTTTTTATATGTTTACAATATTTCATGTTATATTATTATTTCAGAATGAATATTAAAACAATTATCAACCTACAGCAACCAGGAGAACATGCGTATTGTGGTGATGGAAACGATAAAACAGGCTTCTCCTATAATTCTCAATTATTTATGGAAAAAGAGAGTAAGTAGTTTGTATATACGTATACAAGAGATGACATCTTCCCCTCCCACCTCCAAAATTCCCTATTTTCTCCCTCTCCCAACTTACTACCTGTTATCAACTATTCCTGTGTAAAATGATCACTTTTGGGTAAAAAGTTGTTTTGTTGCAGTGCGTTCTTTGAACGCACTGCTTTGTTTTGCAAATGACTATTTTTTTACCTTCGCTTGTTTTCTAAGAAGGCAA